TTTAGTTTTGCTTTTTATTTAAAACATTTCCAGTTTCCTAGTTTCCATTGGCGAAAAATTCTATTATAATTAATGCACTGCTCCGTAAATTTAACGCATATTTTCGAAAAACATCTAAAGTTATTTAATTCAATTTATTTATTGTTTATAAGGACATACAAGGATCTCAGGGTTATGCATGCTTAATCCTACGGTAAATTCGAATGGAACACCTACTAAAGATAAAGAAATTATAGAACAGGATGTCCACAATAATATTAAAGAAGGTATAACCTAATTTGTGAACCATTTTTCAGAAAACCGTTAAGAAGGCAGAAAAAGAATTGTGGATTAATAAGAAACAACGAAGTTTTAGAATGGACAAACATGACAGATCTTACCTCGTTATAAAGAGAACATTTAAAAAGTACGTGTAGTAGAGTTTCATTTTCGTGGATTCTAAATAGAGTGCTAAGTTCAATATGGTTGAATTTATATGACAATCCATGAATTTTGCTCAGTTATTATTCGTTGGTCTAAATCGAGCTAGAATCCTGGTTGTGCGAAGTGGTAAATTGCAGCTTCCAGGGAAGTCGACAGCAACCTGAAAGCAAATTTCTTGCGTTTTAGAGTGCTTGGACTACTAACTTGGACAAATTCCAGTTACAATTCAGACGTCTCATCACGAAACCCAATTATATTTAATGTCAGTTTTAAATGAGTTGTGCTACACTCCAGTGGCAAGAAAGCAGAAGAAGTAGATTTCGACAACATTAAGAAACTTTTGAAGATGTTAGATGTTATTTTTTTGATTTGCTCGGTCTCGGTATATTGGTATTGTGCGGTGTTATATTCTAGTAATTCGGCAATAAATCCAGAAATTAATTACGGTTCACGCCTAGAGGCTTTGGATATGTTTAATCCCATTTTCCAAAGTTTCCAACTCAAACCACTTAAAGAGTTGGCCCCATTTAAGGTTCTTACTTCCAGTATTGTTGGACAGACAACTTCTCTGTTACTGATAATATAGTCCAACACTGACCATCTAAACCTACTGCTACTACTACGGGTTAAAGAGACTTTCTTTAATATTTCGGAATCTTGGAAAGCAGCTATACAAAACTGCAGATAAGAGCTATCGGGTGAGTAACTGTTGAGTAAAAATATAGTCTATTTAGGCCGCCTAGATATTGCGCGAGCAGTAGTAATCTATTTTGAGCATATGATTTTCCTACAAGGCAGGAAACCCAAATTCCTGAAACCATTGTTCTTCTCTGTGGCCAAATATTATTATTAACATTATAAGGGCAGTGAATACGTTAAAATTATTACAATTCGGAAGGCTGTGCATCTCAACCTCGACACACTTAACTCTCTGTCCCCCAGAATTTTGTTTAAATTGAGTATGTCAACACAAAATCCGATTAAGAGACAAGTAAGTCTACGAACAGACTCGGAGTGACAATTTTATAGGTCCGTAAATTTTTCTAGGGTCAATTCAATCAGGGTTGGTATTTTATTTATTTAATATTGTACATTATTTAGATACCGCACAATCGATAAAGATAAAGACAAGCGGAAATAGAATTGCACAGATGGCACACTTGGGGATATAATTGAAGAGTGAACGTAAGAAAGAAGTTTTAAACGACGTGCTTTGTGATCTCATAAAAGAAGTAAGTGCCGTGAATAATATTAAGCTCCCTACAAAAAAATAAATAGATGCCACCAAGTGTCAGTGTTACTTCTCATCGAAGGAGGCAAGTGGCAATATCACATATATACTTAATGAATTTGGAAAATTATTGTAGAACATGAGCTAAACTGATAAAAATAAGACCAGAAAAAAACTACAGCCACCGTTTTGGTTAGTTAGGCACACCATTCCAATAGAAAGTGGAAAGTTGAAAAGAACATGCCAAAAGCAAAGAAATTAAATCACAACTGGATCTGGAGCAAAAAGGATACATCTTAATCTTTACTTCCAGGACGTCAGGTATGTTGGTTACCTTTCCGCTTTCCTGTATAATATAGCTGACACAACCACTGCTTATATATTTGTATGGCATGAAGGTGTGGCAGGTTATGAGGTTTCTCCCTGTTTGCTTCGCTGTCTAAATGGTGGAATAACCAATAAAAGGTGACCAAAATAAAAAAATATATATTTTGTTTGTTGTAGCTCAAGGCGTTTCCGATTGAATACAGATTATGTGATAGGGATTTTGGGTTGATATATAAACTCTTTATACCAGACAACCTAATCAAAGTTATTTAATGGTTGAAGGCCCATTTTGAATTTTGGGACATAAGAAAACCTATTTCTAAACACTTCAGGGTTTCAAATCAGCAAAGCAGTTAAAATACAGATCGACAGAGACAAAAACTGTAATTTCTGAATCGTAAAAATAAACAGAAACCAAGACGGTTAAAACTGACAGTTAACATGCTCCGCTCTTCAATTACCTTCGAGATTTCAAAAACTATAGAAAACGGATGTATAATGTACCTAGGTGAAACTTGGTGCTAAACACAAAAGGCAGTACTTTAAAACAGCTTAAAAGCACGTCTCTGATGGTCTAACTTAACTCTACTTGAACATAACTAGTCTAGTGTTTTATTGCCGCCAGCAGGTTATTTCAATAATTGGCGTCAAAAACCGGGACGATATATTTTGAGACGCACCATACCTACTGGTGAAAGATTTTTTAACATTTTTCTGAGCACGGAATATTTTTCCCCGTCGAAAAATCTAATTTGCCGGTAACAGGGGGGAAAGAAAGGTGGCTGACGTTACGTAGTTGTCTTGTATATTTCAGATAATTACATGTCGGTTGCATTCGACTCTTTTACACGGACCGTTGAGAGCAAAACTGAAAGGTCGTTTGAACACAAATCAGTTGATATCGGCACATTTGCTGTAAGATTAAGATTGCATGAGCAAGTCATCTGACATTAATTTTTCGTAACATATAGTGCATTTAAAAAAGGATTAACGTCATAAGAAACAAAAAGTACCAACCGGAAAATAAAAATAATTGGACAATTTTATGTCCAACAATTAATCTATTAGCAATGCGCCAAAATTATCGAACGTATTTTCAATGAATTGATTTTTCGTGGCATATGCAGCAATGCAATCATCATTTCTACTGACTAGGACATCTAAAAACAATAGGCAGCCGTTCTTCTCTTAAAATGATTGAGAAAGGAATCTAGCTCTCTATCGGTTCCATTCCAGATGATGAAGATATCGTCAATTTATCAAAGGCCCCCCTTTCTCTCTCTCTCGGTTAGAGATATATCTCGCCGAAACGCTGTGTAAACAAACAATAAAAATCCAAACTAATGGACGTCAATTACATTTCCCCAACAAACGTCTAGTTAGCAAAAATTTTACCATTTAAGAATGCCGCATTCAAACGGGCAGCACCCATTAGTTCTCGGACAGGCATAGTAAATAATTATGTACTAGGATCTTTTGAGACTTTATAGATCTGATGGATAACTTACCTTTTGCTATAAGAAATGACATACCTTTCTTTGACGAAGCACAACCTTGTAAAATTGTAAAAACTTAACTTAACTTAAACTTTCCTAGTGGATTGATAGAAGAAGTCCGCTTCTTGAATGGTCGGCATGTGGTCCGTATTTGAATACAATAGATTTTTGTTTTTGGGGCTATATTAAGTAAGTGTCTTACAAATATTCAATAAACAGTCATGAAGAACGTTTTTAAAATGAGACAATCCAAGACAAAGAATTACAAAACGTATATAAGTGCATGGCGGTCACGTAGAACATCTATTTTCAGTATAGTAATAGACACCAATTCTTAAAGGTCTTCTTTAATTTTCGGGATTCACTCGCAACTATTCATTTAAAATTAATTTTTTTCTCTGAAAATGACATTGCCTTATCAGAAATTAAATTTGAAAATACCCAAAAAATATTATGGTATTCTTGAGTTACTTTTCACTTTAGGGAATATGGAAACATTTTAATACAAAGAATATACTGGTAGTCTAGGGCCCATTCGTTTTCCAAAAACAACCGATGTTAATCTATGGCGATTGTTTTTTTTTGTTTCTAAGTATTCAACATTCACAGGAAAAGCTTTCAACCGACATTAACAAACTTGGACATCCAGTAAGTAGTTTAGTTATTCCGGCTGACAAATACCGTGGTTTCCGGGCCAAATCATTGACACTTGAAGCTCATTACCTCAATTTAGTTAAAACATGATTCGCAATTATGAAGATGCCTTAACTGTTCTGGCTTTACGAAGCTAATTGCCCTGTTACTACAACTCACCGAGTCCTCGAAACAAAAACTGGTTCGCAACGACGTGCGCTGGCAGTCGTAGCCCATCCTTGAGATAATCACCATTCCGTGCTTTTGGCTTAAATTTAAAAGTTACAATTCCAAAAATTTCCTTGTCACATTCTGGCTTTTATCAACGAAATACTAGATTATTCGATTTTTGAAAAAAATTGTACAAATGTTAACATATTATAATTGTAAAATAATAATTTACGGTAATTCAGGCAATTCGGTGTCATATGACAAAGTCTTAACCTTATGACATTAAATGTCATAATAAAGGGTCAAATGAGTTGTTGGGAGATAAATGATGGCTGTGGCAATATTTTAATGTGGAATACAAATGCAAAACAGGGCACAGGGCGCAACAAATTTTCTCGTTGTACTATTAAATATGGTTCGTTGCTTTCCAAAACTTAACAAGTTTTTTAAAGGGAATTTGTTCCATATTGTAGCCGTTCACTGAATATCTCGAGTTTTCTAGTTTATATACCAGGCAATATCGTGGAGAAAATGTATCACTTGAAGACTCATTTTTGGTTTATGGTGCATCTACTTCAAAAATTACTTGGGTTGTCCTTGAGGCACAATTCATTTAAATTGGAGACATCCGGTCGATAAGGCGTATCAAATAACTACGTAAAAACCTACTTGAGAACCTCGAGATAATTATCTACCAATAAATACAAGGAAGAAACTATGGTTCAGTATTTTTGTGTCCTCTCATCATGAATTCCATAATATTTCTGTGTGCAATAATCGCGTGTGCTGCAGGTGAGCTTCAGTTTGGACAAAATTGCCAAAGTTATTTTTTTAAAGAAACTTTGTAGCTTACGGTAACTGTACTATTTACAAATCTTATGGATTTCTCCTGCGCCGGTTGTTGATGAATCGAATTTACTAATTTTTCGCCAACCCTCCTGTTGGCTCCTTCAGAGCTTAACTGAAATCGGTTTACGTTCTACTAACTACTTAACAAGTTTACCAAAAATCTTGCATACTATACTTTTTCTGCGCCCGTTACTTCTTGAGTACATTTTTGAAAAACAACAAGAATACATGACAAGGTCAGACTTGACAAACATCAAAATTCAAGGCGGGGGAAACATCTCCGAAAACATCCGATTGCTCCCAGACCCCGGTAAAATCCCGGAAATGTTCGAAGTGGCTCGAATCCGTGAAAAACGAAACTGACGTGGTAAAGTGGCGCTTCCCGCACGCTAGATCGATGTGTAATTAGATACTTTTTCTACTCCCGTCTGTAAAATACCTAATTACCCACCGATCTAGCATGCGGGAAGCGTCACTTTACCACGTCAGTCTCGTTTCCCACGAATTCGAGTCATTTCGGACATTTCCGGGATTTTACCGCACGTATTTGGGAGTGATCGGATGTTTCCGCTTTGAATTTTGACGTTTGTCAATTCTGTCGATCATGTCAGTGTTGTTTTGCGAAAATGTACCCAAAAACTAATGGTCGTAGAAAAAGTATAGTATGTAACACGTTCGGTAAACTTTTTTAACTTACTCGTTTATTAAAAACTCACTCCGCTGCCCTCCGCTGCCATTTACCGCACTTGTTGCATAATATACTATTACAGACTTGAGTAGGAAAAGTTGTTTGTTGTTTAGAGATTTCCATTTATTCTCGGAGTTTTGTAGTGAAAGACAAAGGTTAAAGGAAAAATAGTTTAACAAAAAAATTTGACGTTCGGTTAAATGCTTATGTTCGCAACTGCTGATGAAGTTATTTGTTTTATTTGTTGTAAGTCTAGAACTTTATTATTTTTAGTTGAAATTTTTCTTCCTGCCTCGCTAATGCATTCTTGGACAAGTCAAGTATCTGTTTTTATATTTCTTAAGAATTTTTGTTATAAATAAGGGTTTTCAATGTAACGCATGACCACGGTGGCAAGGATGGGGTTACTTTTCGACATATTTTCTTTGGGAGGTTGTGACAAAGTGAATTTTGTCGTGCAAGGCTTAATATAAGTAATGTGGAAATTATTTGAGAGGCGAGCAGAAGTTCAATGGTAAGACGTACAATATTAAGCCAATATGGAAATCAGTCATCTGAGACGACATATGAAATTATTAAGTAGAATGCAAAACAGTCTCAGTTAAGCTCTGAAGAAGCAAACAGGATTGGAGAGAGATCAGCCAGTTGAAATCATCAACACACAGGACACAGGAGAATTACAAAAGATCTATAAATAACAAATTGGCTTAAGTACTACAAATTCCATTATCTGTACACAAAGTCGATCGTCACAATAAGCTATAAGCCTATATAAGTTGACTTGATTAATTTCTTTTAATTCAGACAGGGTGTATTAGGTTTATATTGGCTGTAATATCTTCTAAGCGAACGAAACCCAACTAGCTGGGCTATGTTCGTTTAAAGATTGAGGGCAATGAGTCATTAAAACTACTTGTTTCGATTTCGATTGCCTTTGTTTACTTTTCAATATATGCACACCGTTAAATGCTGCTAGACACGGAGTTCATAGAAAAAGTATTTAATTCTTCATGCCAAGCAAATTGTAAAAACTGTTTATAATGCTTTACTTAATGTTAATAAAGAACTTTCCAGTGAAGCATGAAGCATAAAGATTTTGGTTCCAGATCAAGATCAACGAAGTCTAAAACAACGGATCGTTAATGAACAAAAAATAAGCTGCGAAATTACAATTCCTTTAAGGGGTTTCAAATATCACAAAATAGGCAGGAAATAAGTACCTATGCAATTCGACCGATTACAAAAATGGCTGGCCTGATTTTTCCAGAATATGTCAAACAATATCTGCTTCTAATAAATTCCGGGTCAGAACACGGTTGACCCCAAATTATTTGAGGCTTAGTTGAAGTTACCATGAAGATACAACCGTAGCACTGTTTGAACAATGGGTGTTCTACTGTTCCTCAGAATAGCGAAGAACAATGCAAGCTACCTCATTTATGAACTACATACGGTTCCAGTGTCAAATAATACACAATCGAAAATTCAAAACTACATAGCACCAAAGGATATTTTTAAGGGAGAAAGTGACCTTTGAGAAGTATTGAAGGAGTTCAGCATGAAAGAAGTATATGATATATGCATATTAGGTCACAAAGTTCTTCTCTATGTTAGTACTGTAGAAAATTCTTATAACACTTTTAATCATATTGTTATAGTTATTATAATATCGACAGCTACGCAGAACTGAATGTAGAATATTATAAATGTATCATATTATATAGGTGCAAATAGATATGAAGGAAGCATTAGTAATATTTTAAAACTTGTATTGTCATAATTTTCCATTTCATTAAATTCACTATAAATTCCGAACCGGCACTAGATCTTTTTTTCATCGTACGCTCACAGCATGTTTCTATATTTATGGTACTGGTCTAGGCAGTTTCATTGCATTCGATAAGTCAAAACCGTTTGCCTGTGAAAGCATAAATCCTTATTCTCTGAATAGGTGGTAGTTACAAGCTCCCTAATTGGATTTTATTTAATTTTAGCCAGGAATATAGCGCCCGGCGGGAGAGTAGCAGAAGGTAAAGATGCTGTTCGTGGTGAGTTTCCTTACCAGGTGTCGATTCAAAGAGTGTACACTAACCAGTATATGGCTTTCTGCGGTGGTGCAATTTTATCGCCTGACTACGTACTAAGTGCGGCGCATTGTTTTGGGGAACCCGATCAAACCTCCAACTACAGAGTGGTTGCCGGAATACTCAACCTGAACGACGTCAACGTCGGCGAACAAATCAGAAATATTAAGAAAATATCAAATCACGAATTGTATCCCGGGTGAGTATACGAGAAGACTTTTCCTGAAACTATTTAATTACAATAAGCAATTGACAGTAAGTAGGTTTTAATTCTGATTTAGATATCCCAGCACAGTGACTATCATCGTTTACATTAATCACAATTAAAAGTAAAAAATGCTGTCTCCTAGCAATCTGAACTTCCGCATGCCTAATCCACTGTATATTTATGGAGTTAAGCGAACTTAATGCTTCTTCCCACATATTTAAACAAGCACTTTTCCAAATTGCTGTGGTAAAAATTTTTGGTTATGCCCAAACATTCTAGGTTAAATATTTCGGCGGTCTAACAACTCACTTATACAGTGTAAATTAAAATTTCATGAAGAAAATAGCTACAACTAATAAGAAACGAATTGATTGTCTATGAATTAAGTCAAATAAACTTATCCATCAATCCAAACAATCAATCCAAATTTCAGGATTCAGGTAACCAAAATCCTGTAAAATGTTATAAAAATGAGACAGCAGGTTTATTTAAATTGTTAATTTCGTAAATCAATTGACAATGTATTATCGCATTATGCAATGTATATTAGCCTGTTTGGGTTGCGTAATAAACATTACTAGTACCATATGTACATCACTAGGGAGTTTATGAATTTATTACCAACTCGTTTCTTAGAATGTTATGGTCAACTGACAGTTTCGTGTTTAAGTTCCCTTTATCTGTTGTGCAATATACGGGATGTTTTCTAATTGAATGTCAATGATTAAGGGGGCGATTTTTGGGTCCGTTTTAAAAAGAAAATTTCACAGAAACATATGTCCTTAAGTTCTTAACTACTGAGATGCAGGGTGGTAAAGTTTTGAAAAATATAATATATATTTCTTATATGTGTAACACCACTTTAGAGGCATTATTTAGTCTACCACATTTTTTTTAAAGTACACCAGTGGCGGGCGCACTATTTTGGCAGACATTGATTGTTAAAAGAAAAATTATCACAATCGCCAATCATTTCTAAATTTAATTTCTTGATATTTTTCATCTGATTTAAAAAGAATTAAGAAATTAAATTTCCGTAGAAATTATTGGAGATTGTAAGAATAATTTTTATTTTAAGCCAAAACAGACACGTGAAACTCTGTACGCCCGCCGCTGGCTTATTTAAAAGAAACGTGCTTACACGTATTAAAAAATATATATTTTATTTTTGAAAATATTACCACCAAAAGTGTGAGACATATGTTCATATGAAGTTTGCTTTTTAAAATGGACATTCATTCAATTAGAAAGCATCTTGTAGAATGGATATATTATAAAATGCTCTAAGCAGTAACCTGTCCACAGTAAATAGTTGTAGTGTCACCTGTAGTTGTAGTGCCTATATGTAGGAACGATGTTGCCGCCCCGCATGATATAGCAGTTGTGGAACTATTGGACCCTCTGTCGTACAGCGCGACTATAAAGCCTGCTCTACTTCCGGCACCTAACCAAGAATACACCGGCCTTGCCACTCTTTCTGGTTGGGGTTCAACGGAAAAATTGGTAGCACAGCCTAATACACTGCAATACGTCGATTTGCCTGTGATAAGCATCGAAGGTAAGTTAGTGACTCACTGAACAACTCGGTGAAATGGACCAACAACAAACATCTACACTAAAAGATTTTTATTAATTTTAATATGGCATAACTTTAGTTATTTTAACCTCACCTCAATGATTTTTTCGCTGGACGATAGGTCAGCTCTTTAGTATTGCGATGCGATGAAATGTTGAATTAACACACGACGTTAAACCGTGTTCAAACATGGTTTAGAAGCTGCCCTTCCCTATCCAAATGTTTGGATAAGTCTGCGTGAGAAAAATGTGCCGTACATCCATCACGTGGTAGCAACATATCTCTTCTCGTTTGTTGTTTCTTAAAAAGTTCAATTAAATTTGGTCATTAACTTGACCATTAAAGAAACGTGGTCCTATTGATATCTCCAGTACTCAAAAAGTTGGCTTTATTTGTCTAAAATATTGGAGATATAAAATTCGGACATATCTACAACAACCTACAATATTTAAACGACAAACTAACCAATGTGTAGTATGCTTCGGCCGTCGAATAAGACATTTTTAATGCGATAAACACAATCAGAGTAAGAACATTCCAAGGTTAGATAAATTTAAACGTTGACTATTTAAAACGGTAGATAATTATGAGATTTTAACAAGCATCAAATGACAGCATGAAAGATGCGTACAGCGTTTTGTGAGGGAGGTATACTTTCCGATTTGTTAAATTTCACAACCTACTAAAAACCCAAACTATTACAATAAAAAAAAAGTTTTTTTAACAATCTCGCTAATTAGGAAGGAATGATTTGTGCCAAATGTTATATGTCTTTTATGTTTAATAACTTACTACTTAAAATGTCGGTAATTGATAAACTTTGTCTGATGATTGATGGATGAGTGATTAAAACTAATTTTTTTTAAATGTTTTAAGGATATACATATCATAACGACGTGATTGATGATAGAGATAATTGATATTAAGATAATTAAGATAAACAAAGAAATTTTGTCCCATGCGTAGAATGGTTACCAAAGTTCAACTTGTGACTTTTAAATTTTGCTACTCATATTTTAAGCTAGGAAAAAGATATTGAGATGCGTTTTTTTTTTATTATTGTTTTTGCCCATATGTCAGAAAATGTCATCTGGTAGCGTAACACATTTGCAGTCTTAGGTTAGCCCTTTTTAATTTAACCCTTTTCGAATCATCTGAAAATATATAGTTATAAAGATGGAGTAAAAAGCATTTAACAACAAAAATATGAATTTGTCTCAGCTTTAAAGCAATGTTCACTGTAAACATCATTAATATAAGACAATTTTGCATAAAAGGGATTTTAAAATTCAATATAGCAATTACGCCCTCTGGTGGTCGATTCAGAACCTCAAAAACAATTCTAGCATTTCTCTAGGCCGGTTTACTTAATAATTTTATTTCCAATTTTTGGCAACATTCGTTTACTGAGACCGCATTATTAAATTAAATATATTAATTAATAATTATTTCATTGTAATTAAAATTTAGGTGCCGGTTTTTTTATGTCAGGTTTTTAACACAATTTATTTTCGCATATAATAATAATAATAATAATAATAATAATAATAATAATAAAAATAATCTTTGTTTAACAACGTAGTAAAGTTTGTTCCAAGTCCAGAGGTATAAGAATAACTTTTGTATAAGTGTAATTTTTGTAAACAATTTTTAGAATTTTCTTAACAATAACAATTTTTAAATTTGACAGCTGACTTAGTACTCTCTGGATGACCCCAAAAATCATTAGACTTAAATCTATGAAATTTAGTATGCGGGGGTTTGTAATTAGGCTGCACCCAATAGCGCCATGGGCGACATTGCCACATTTACATATTTTTCCTAATCTACCAAACTTTATATGTAAAGGTCATGTTATTCCATTTTTGGATTGATCGTCCATGCACAGGGCGACCAAAAACTAAAACGGGCGACGAACGGGCTCTGCAAATATTTTATTATCTTCTGTAGTTAATCAAAAACCTTCGACTACACAATTAGCTGCGGACAATAGTTCTAGTGAGTCATCGGTGAAAAGAATCTTGGCAGAGTACAAGCATGAGCCATCTCCTTCAGAAATTGCCTGAAGATGAGATCGGCGAACGGAATTCTCAAGACTATGTCGGCTTAAAATAAAAATGGCAAATTCTCGATATCTTAAGTTTATTTTAACAAAATGAAATGATCTGTTTGAGTATTTCAAATATTTTACACAAATATGTATGTAATTCAAATTAAATATTCATCTCTTCATTTTAAAATTTTAGATATTTATTTAGCAACTTGAATTGAGCATATACGAATTCATTTTAAAAATATAAAGTTACTCTATTTAAATGAGCATAATTTTATATTGAATTTTTGGTAGTTTTAAATTAGTTAAATATATACTTCAAAATATTCAAATAGTTGCTTTAAATCAGGCATTATATCAATTCCGTCCAAAAAAGTTATACCTGTTTTGTTTGATCTTATTGCAGTTTAATATTGAGGGGGTAATTTTATCATAAAAAATGGAGATATTTTTAAAGTAAATTTTTGTATAGCTGTTCTTAGACCATTCTACCAATTGAAAACTTTAATTTTGGGAGATACAAAAATACATGCGAATATTGACCAATGATTTTTGATAATTTCTAACAAATAAAGGTAGTTAAGAAATACGTTTAAAAATGGGCTTTTTCATAGAAGTTTATAATTCTGTATTAATAATTATGACAAAAACAAATTCCTACGATTGTTAAACACCAGTGATTAATAACACATTTTACTAAGAAGGTAAGCCGAAAGAGACATTTACATTATTTGCAACAATTCTATCTACCCGAAACTAGTATTTTGATTTTTAGATGCAGAGAATTTTTGTGATTCAGAATACCGATTTAATCTTACATGTAAATAGTTATTTTAAAATTACTTCTGGACGAAGAAAAAAATTCATTACCAACTTATTCTTTTATTTTCGAAAATAGAAGGAGGGAGGACTTTTCTGTTAGTGTGTGGTTGTCTGTTTCTCCTTATAAAAAATCCTACAAAAAGAGAGAACAACACATGATTACAAAATTCTTTAAAAACTTTTCAAATTAAGAAGTGCATGCACATGTTTATTGATTCTACTTAAAATCAAGTACTACACTTAATCTAAACAAAATTATGTCACCTATTCTTTCTTAAATGCATTAACAGTATATACAAAAGCAACTACTCCGACACATTTTTTGGTCTGTATTTAGATTTATTAAAATAGAAGGCACTTAAAGTGTATTTACCACTAAGCTCTGTTGGTGTTTTTAGAATGTAACGACAACATCAATAAAGCCATTTTCGGGACCAACCCTCTCGATCTGGAAAACAACGTTTGCACCGGTTCAGCAGCGCATGAAATGGCTTGCAGTGGTGATTCTGGAGGTCCTTTGGCGATCAACGGTACCGTTATTGGGGTCGTTTCTTGGGGAATCAGCGGATGTGGGACCGACCTCAACCCGCCAACTGTATACGTCAAAGTCTCGAAATACATCGATTGGATTGGAGAACATTCTAGCGGCGTTGTACCGTCTGCTTTGTAAAATTTTATAAACCAGTAATAAAAAAAATTTAGTTATTAATAAAATGGTCTGAGGGGCAATTTCAAAAAAGATGCAAGAAGAGTTCATAGATTTCATTGCGCTTAAACTTCAAACACAAAATTTACGTCAATTTTTATTACTTTAAGAATTAGCATTAGTGTAATGTGAGTGGCGTGACTAGCCCTTTAAAATAATCTCCTATTTGGGTAGTCACATAAAGTAAAATGGTTTAAGACCAATCCATGCCATTTACATTGCACGTATTTAATACACTGCCAAAGTAATGTTGTGTATTTTCGTTACTTTCGAACTAATACCTACACGCACGGGACCAATATAAGCGCATAATGAATTTATTAGATCCATTATCCTTATATTCCAACGCGCATGTGACCCTTACTCTCTACAACTAGAAAAGAAAAATGTACTTTACAAATAACACAACATGATAACAAAAAGTGTAATGCTCAACTCGTATCAGCTAAACGAGCACTTTCAAAAATATAATATTTCTACTCCCTTCTATAAAATTCCTAATTATACACCGATCTAGAGTGAAAAAGGCGCAACTTTACCACGTGAGTTTCTTGTCCCATGGATCCGAGCCCCTTCGGACATTTGGGATATTACCGCACAGGTTTGAGAGCAATCAGATGCTTTCGGAGATTGTACCTCACAGCTTGAATTTTGACCTTTGTCCATTCTGACGGTGATGTTAGTAAATGTATTCGTGTTGTTTTGCAAAAATGTACCCAAAAACTGACGGCCGTAGCAAAAGTATAGTGTGAACATGTTTGATAAAATTTCTAAATACCGATTACCGCACTTCTTGCATAATATACTATACTTGGAATGTCTATTTTAACATTACAGAATAAAATAATTTATTTTCAAAATGCTCATACACGGTGCGGCAAAAAGGTAAGCAGGATTTCAAATAGTGGTTGTTCGGAATGTGAAACCGGCAACACTATATACGCACTCGCGTTAGGCAGACAAAAGCATGCAATTTTCAGTTATCGACATGGCTCGAAGCGGAGTGCATCGCGCTTTCGTTGTCGAGGAGTTTATTAGAAATGGGGAATCTGTAATAGGGACGCAGCGCGCCTTTCGTAATCAGTTTGATGTTGGTCGGCATGGCGCGGGTGCGAATGGATACAGGTTCTGCGCTTAACCGAAAATCTACTGGCCGACCAAGGACAGTAAGAACACCGGAAAATGTCAATCCAGTAAGATTTTCCGTACAACAGTATCCAAGGCGTTCAGCTCGTAAGCATGCAGCTGCTTTGTGAATTCCCTCCCGATAGAAGTGTTCGAAGAATTTTACACAACTCACTAAAAATGCATCCGTAGAAAAAGTGCAGGAATAAAGCGCAAGAGATTTTGAAACCCGTACAAATTTTTGCCGGGATATTCTTTAAAACATTCCCAGAGGCGCTGTATTCATGCCTAGCGATGAAGCTCACTTTCACCTCTCGGGTACCGTAAATAAGCAAAATTTCCGTTATTGGTCAGCAAATAGTCCACAGGAATGAGCAACCTCTTCACAGTCCAAAAGTCACCGTCTGGTGTGCAATCTCGGAGTTCGGCGTGTGGGGTCCTTACTTTTTCGAAGAAGATGGAATAACGGTAACAGTCAACGGAGATCGATATTTTGATATGTTTAACAATTTATTGCGACCAAAAGTGAACGAGTTGAACAACGATCAAAGCGAACATCTTTGGTTCCAGCAAGATGGTGCTACATCGCATACAACGTGTCGTTCACTAAATCTTCTTCAAGAAATGATCCATCGGGTAATGATGCGCTTCCACTAGAAGCTACTAGAGTGCATCAACAATAATGGCCATCATTTAAAAGTCATCATTTTTAAAAAATAACGTTCCTAAATGGCATAAAATGTACTCAAAAATAATTTAAAAAAAAAGTTTGCTTTATGTAGTTTGGTTTTTATTAACATCCCAAATAGTACCTGTCATTTTCCCGCACCCTGTACTTTCGCAATCCATAAATTCATAAATATATTTCGCATATAATTAATTGCTCTATCGAAATAAGCTACTTTCCGGCTGAGTGGAAGTTTGGAAAGTTTCTAATACAAGGACGTATAATGACATTCGTTTGATAGGCATTTTTTCGGCAATTTCAAAAATTTACGAAAAAATGTTGTGTAATCAAATCTACGAATTTTTTGTTGTTAAAATATTGTTGCACATACGGAATGTGGTTTGAAAAAGAAGTCTGGGGCACAAGTAGTATTTCTTAATGTATTGTGTATTGTAAGTTAAGAAAATGAGTAACGTTCTTGTGCAATTAGATTTCTCGAAAACTTTTTGTATCATCAACTTCTAATATCAAAGCTAAAATATTATGGATTTTCTGATAAACCTGATGAAAATTTTCGGATCAGGCGCAAATACTCTCGGGGGTCCATTTTATGTCCTCTGTTTTATTGTGTATATTTCGGACTTTACAAAATCATTAACTTTCTGTGAAATTCAAACATTTCACCAATTTATTATTGGTTTGATGATAATATTTTTTTTGATTTTTTGATGATTTTTTTTTAATAAAAATAAAATGATTTTAATTGATGGCACTGTACTTAACTTCGTTCATTATGCTAAGAACTTGGGTAAGTGTTTAGACAGCGAACTAAAATTTAAAGAACATTTAAAAATCATATTTTGAAGAGCATATACGGAACTAAAAATATTATACAGTAATAGACAAATTTTAGTTCAAAAGTTAAGGAAAAAGTTGTGCGAGTCCCTTGTCTTATCAAATTTTAATTACATTAATTTTGTATATAGTTTTCATTTAGATAAGGAGTATAGAATTCAAACAAATTCAAAACCAATGTGTGCGCTTTGTGTATGGCTTAAGAAAGTACGATCATATTTCTAATTTTTATAAACATATTGGCTGGCTTAGGATTAAGTCTCGTAGAAAACCAAGTTTCTGTACTTTTTTAATATTAATAAACACTTGTTCAATAGAGTGGTTAATTCTAAGCTAGAATGCGCCAGTCGAGGGTACAACTAATTGATTTCTGTATTGTATGTTTGTTATACTATTTTCTGTAATAAAAGTAATTTATTATTTATTAACTTGTAATTTAACATTTATTTTTGCATAACTCTTAAACGTATCATGATGATCTTTTGGGTCGTTTTGGGTCAAACATAGTACAGGTTTTAAAATTAAATTCTGTTATTTAGATAACACAATTAAATTAGAAGAAAAAATGTTCAGATATTCGCAGTGACTTGGTTAATGAAAGCTGTATCGGCTACACCTTGATAAAACAGCTGCCATAAATCAATAAATTACTGTGACATTCTGAACATTTTTGTTCTAATTTAATTGTGTTAAATGGATTTTCATCATATAAAAGCCACCTCGGTTCAATTATTAAGATGACATTCAACTTCATTAGCTGCATTCCTATAACTGTAATATTTGGAACAAAATAGAGTTTTGAACATCTGATCAAATAACATATCATTTTAAAAAAATATGTGGAATAACATTGCGTTATTGCGGAATATTCTGAATAATCATTGTAAACATTTTCTTATTCCTATTTTTTATTATTCTAAAAAAAATCAATTTAATATTTTGTTCAGCTTAATATCTTTTTGCGTGGGCCAGCTATTGTAAAATTTTACAAGGATTAGCTAATACACTTTTTGAATAATCAATTCATACAGAACGTCACAACAAAAAAGTCTAAAAAAAATAGTAACAGTAAAAACCCTTTCATTTATGTACATGCTATATATTTGACATTATCCTCAAGAAGTTCAATACAAAATTTTTAAACATAAATAGGCACATTTATGGTGATTTTGTGCAAAAATTGTTGTGCTTTTTAATGGCAATATAAATTTTGCCCCAAACTTTGTGCAAAAAAAAATTGTTTTCTCAGAAATGTAAATATTTGAAACACGCTGTATGACTTACCAACAAAATCACGTATTGGTCATTTAAATAAATATATTACCCAATCCCTGTAAAATTTTGAATTAGCTAGGTCACTTTCACAAAAGTCGGTATAAAGCTGCAAAAACAATTTTTTTTTTCGATTTAGTGGAAAGAAATTGGTATAGGTAAATATCAACAACGTTACTCAAAATTTCTATTCCATGTGAATTTTCAATGTGTGCTTAAATATTTTAAAAATATAGATCCTCGCACACTATGGCCGTATACCAAAATAAAAAAAACCTACATGTAAACTTCTAACAAGACAGTCGACATGAATCACATTTGCAGAAAAAAATCATTTACATTGTTGCTCCAGCTCAAGTAACAATTAGGCGCAGCGATATTTTCGGAATTTTTCGAACAGGGTTTTAAAGTTCCATTTTCGAGAATAAAAGCTTTGGTTCTCATTTCGCAAAAGTAAATAATTCCTGCTTTTTTGTCACGCCTACAAGGTTTGTACTTGACGTGGTTAGAAAAAATTGCAAAAGTGGATACACGCGATGTATTTTATTTTAAAGTATGTACACGGATGGAGTGACACGAGGATAAACAAACTACAAAGTGAAAGATGCAGAAAAAAAAATTATCTATAAGAAATTTTTGCTAATTGCGTTGCGAAAAAAATACAAAAATATAAAAGACTGATCTTGTAGATGTGGTTGTCGTTTATGCCACAATTTCGATTTACATTTAATAATAATAGCATTTCATATAGTGATTTATTATCTCATTTTCAAATTCACAGAAGATATAGTGAAGGCCATTAAAAGAACACAATCTAAAAATATAAATGAATAATTAGAAAAGAATAAAATACATTGGTTGTTGCTAATAAACGCAATAAGAAATTAAAAAAAAAATCCCTTATAGACACTCGCTTCTGGTTATGTATTTATATCTCCTTCAAAAATTACTCACGTTGCCCTTGAAATACAATTTATTTAAATTGGAGATATCCGGTGGTTAAAACGTATCAAATAACTATGTAGAGACCATCTTGAGAACATCTCAAATCGAGATAGTTATCTACCAAATAAATACAAAGCGGAAACTATGATTCAGTATTTCTTTATCTTGTCTATATGAATGCAGTAATATTCCTGTGTGCAATAATAGCATGTGCAACAGGTGAGCTTTAATTTGTACAAAATTGCTAAAGTTAATTTTTCAAAGAAACTTCTGCAGCCTACGGCAACAGTCTTCTGGATTCTGGATAAATCGAACTTGCAGATCTCTTGACAACCGTTCCCTTCGCCAGTTGAAAGCTTAACTGAAAATGTACATGCTTATGTAATGTTTGAGGGATGCAGAGGTAAAGGAGGGACCTGAACATTATCTTGGTTACTATTTACAAATCTTCTGGAT